TGTCCAGATTAGATCGCCTCTGTTTTATGATGAATCAATTTGCTGGCTGTCAAAAGTGAATGTAAGACAGAAGCTGTTAGGCTGTACCAATGGCATAAGTTAGAAACCAGGATATTGACCTTTGGTTTAATTACTTTTAGGAATTTGAGAAGTGACTTTTGTCTCTGTGAGCATGTGTCAGTAGAAAAAGTCATTACTTATATAAACACATTTCAGAGGACTTTTGTCCACCAATAGCTACCTGTTTCCACATATTCTGATCCAAAATGTAATTAGTGGTTATGCTGACATGTTATTATATCTAGACTACTCCACTTTTTATTTCACCAAATAATGTATTGCCCCTAGTTACTTTGGCTAAACCTGTCAACCTTTCTGTCCTTGCATTGCTCAAAATTCCTAATGACTTAACAACATGTCCTCAGTGTCAGGCAAATATTTGCTTCTTATTTCTAGTCTACAACCATTAACTTTATAATTTCAACAACTATCTGTGGCATATTTTTTGTATATTTTTTACAGCCAACTAGCTATTTGAGCTAACAAAATGCTACCATTGCATCTGGCTGACTCATTTTAAAACAAACTGGAAAGGCTGCAAAGCTGTCTACATGAGTCATAAAAACAAAATGATATAGACCAAAGCATACAAGTAATAGATGTTATATGTTATCCTATTCAAAGTGTTTGAATATTTAACTTGGTACTGAGTCCCGTGAACAGGACACACACTAGGCTAAATTGTTAGCATGTTTGTTTGGATGATTCAAACAAACTAGTTAAAGTCAGATTAATCACGTTTCTCAAAGTTTAGTCTCTGAGCTGCCTTTTGACATTTGTGTATTCAATTTTGTTTTTGGGTTCAAAAAGACAACCCCTAACTCCTAGGCTCTTGCATACTTCAAATCCTCTGAACACAGCTCTTATTATTGTACACAATATGAGCACATCTTAATGACCAGTTTTAGCTGAAAGGGTACTATCACCAGTAGATAAACAATGAGTGTGATTACAAATGATTAGGTGAGCATTTTTGAGGGAAGTGGTTAACGTGCAGTCAGGTCTTGTTTTTGTTTGAAAGCATGTCCCACTCTTGCCGTTTCAGAGGCTGCAGTGTTGTTCACTGAATGTTATTCATGCATTGCCTAAATTGTACCAATTTTTTTGTAACCCAAAGCACACACATGACTAGGGATGGGTATTGATAAGATTTTAACGATTCCGATTCCATTTTCGATTCTGTTTAATGATTCGATTCCTCATCGATTCTCTTATCGATTCTTTTTTTAAAAAAAGGAGAACACTAAAGTCGATTAGCTTAGAACTGTGTTTTATATCTTCTCTTTGAACAAGATAGAAATTTAGGAGTAACATGGCCTTACAAACCCAACAGTGAGATCTTAAGAGATCCACAACCTACGGCTCTTCAATGGGGTGTCACAGGGTCCCCAGGAAAAAAAATGTATATGTAAAATAATAAAATAAATATTCTCCTGTAGCAATAACAAAGTTTAACATAAATTATTCTGTAGCAATTACACAAGAATATCCAGTAATGTCCCTGCCTACAATTAAACACATTCACTTACCAAAGTGAAATCGGGGGCATCTGCTGGGTGCAAGCCTTTTACCACAAACTTAGTCACTGCTCGGTGACATTCGTCTATCCTGGCCTGAAAGGAGACGCTACCGGTAGACTGCAGCGAGAACTGCCAGCATCTGAGCCAGACTCTGTCTCTCTCATCATGGTTATCTAAATGCACAGTATTAGCAGGTTTTGTAATAAGGTAAATCGCGCTAACATAATATGCAATGCTAATTGATTAGTTACCTGCAGTATTAACGGGAGAGGACGTGGAAACGCTACCGCTGCTGCTGGGTTGAGCTTCGCTAGTCCGGAGCGGATCAAAAACACGACATTCGTTGAAAGCAATCGCGTGTTTTTTGAGCAAATGCTTTTGCATATTCGTAGTGTTTCCTCCCTTTGATGAAATCTCTACTTTGCAAGTATTGCATGTTGCCCTGTTGTCATCCTTTCTCATAAAGTATAACCAAACTTTTGAGCGTTTGTGCCGCTCAGGCGCCGTGTTTCCTACTGGGTAAAAGACGCTACTCAACGTGATGACGTCATTCGGGGCGACTGGAATCGATAAGGGAATCGTTTTTAAAAGTGCCAAACGATTCCAAGGAATTGAAACAGTGGGAACCGGTTCTCAACAAGAACCGGTTTTCGATACCCATCCCTATACATGACGTTGTTCAACTGAGTTCAGCTGTCCAGCTCTCCATAGACTGAGATATAAATCCCTGTGAAGCTTTGTTGTATGGCTCAGATTAGTCTACATGTGGTACCTCCGGAGCGTTTCCTTTCCTTTATCTTCTCCCCAGTCTCTCGTTTTCTCCATGGGGATTCTCAAGCTCTTCGAAAGAAACTAATAAAGAGCTGAAACAGATGAACATTAGTGATACTCTATCACCCCATAGAGTATAGTAAGAGAAGGATGTAAGAAGATGGTTTTTCATGTCTCGGGTTTTTTCATGCATGCAAGCAAAGCTAAAAATGATGCAGCATTTAAGACTTGAGTTACTTAACATGTCGACCTTGCTTCATTAACATGCAGTTATTAAAGGAAATGACACATTCCACAAATGTCATTGGCTGTTCTTGTAAATTGTGGATGATGTTGTATTATGCCATATAGTAAGAAAAGATCTACTTTCCATTAGCATGTGATTTAAGTTTTCATTTCCAAAATAGGCATAGAAATGTAATATTTAGCAGACTGCATGTTGGGTGTCATTGCTTCAGATTTTGGCTGAGAAGAGCTTTAGGATATATAGTAAACTGGCTGTTTAGAGAATTACTAAACAATCACAAGGGCTATTAATCAATGTGATCATTTTTATATGCATGGCAATAGCAAAAATTATTGTGTTATTGTTTGATGAGTGAACATAACTGTTTCAAGTAATTCAAATGCTTGACCCTAGCTGAAAACGAAACACGTGGTGCTCTACTCTTAACATTTTGTGGGGTAGAGTTGCCTGAAAAAACCTCCTGCAGTACAAAAGTGCAACAGAAGGTTGAAATAATATTTAATTTCTGGTTTGAATTTGCTGGTTCTCAGGAGAGAATATCATACAGTGCAGCAGTTATGACAATATAATAATACAGCAGATATTAAATTATGATGGGCTAGTGAGTGCAAAATACTTGACTGTAATGAGAGTTAAATGGTACACAGTTAAAATGTATGATGGTCTGATGAGACTAATATCCTGTCTATATAATGTGTCTGGCTTTACTCTGCGGCACTTTGTCTTAACAGTGTTGAGCAGTTCAGAAAAGTGTAGCTGCGAGTGTGTGTTTACCTCTTCTTATTATTATTTCCTCTCTGCCCTCTGAAAGGTGATAAATCAAATCAATCACATGAGAACAGCTGCTGCATACTTTGAGGAATACCAGATGAACTGCAGAGCCATGAAGCTTCTGCTAAAACAAACACACTCATTTACACACACACTTGTTCTGTAAGCTCTTACATGCAAGTTTGTGGACATGGCACCCCTGAGCAAGGCCTTCCAACCCTAAATCCATGAAAATGGGGCATCTCTAGTAGTTTTATTTACATGCATTCCTAGAGGTTTACAAATTTAAAAACTAACCAGCTTCCTTCAAAAAAGGATGATCCTAAAATTCCGCCCTGTGATAGCTTACACTCCAGGGCCCTGCGACCTTATTTCAACCTTTAGATTTTTATTATATTACAGGAGCCAAAATACTCTGTCAAACCAGAACAACAACAATAATACAGAGATGGTTGTTGTGTCCACCTATGTGAGGAATCTTTTACAGAGACTGTATATAAAAGAATGTCATAAAGTGTAGTCGCAGTGTTAGGTTACATTTTGAAGCTTTAACATGAATGTTTTGCCTAATTCTCTGTTAGGTTTTTTTGGGGAGCCAGAAGTTACCATGTTTGGACCAGAGCATTGCTGTATCCATTGACCTTATGGGTGCAAGCATATCTGCTAAGTAGTGTAAAGTAAGGACTAATAAAATGCTAAAAGTTTTTGCATCAAAACCGAAGTACAAACATGATCGACATTTGACAGATAAACAAATTAAAATACTTCAAAAGCAACAAATAGCAGAAACAAAGTGGAGCCATCTCAATCAGTAACTTAAAGCTCCCAGTGTTGCCTTAATCCTCAGTCAAATTTACCACACCCCTACCTTTACAGTTTTTTTAACAATGTTATAAAAATGTTTTGACTATGCAAAACTCTTAGCCTGTTAGCAATCTACTTTAATTCATCCCTTTGTCTCCTTTTTTTACTTCTCATCTTTGATGTCCACTTACAGTTTCTATCTCTCCTTTTATTTATTCACTCACTTTCCCTCCTTTCCTCAGTATTTTTAAGCAGCTGGTAGTCTTTAGTGCTCAAATAAGCTAAACTGGATAAATGCTTGCAGATGCATACTGTGAAGTTCCAAAGTAGGAAGTTATGAATTTCAAAACCCTTCAATGGATTCGCTTCACATCTGTGAGATTGTTGCCATATTATAGGCTTTACAATCACAGAAAACAGTATATTCAGAAAGAAACTTGCGTCAAATGTTTTTAAAGAGGGTTCACAAAAGAACACAAAAAGTTTCCAGGGTATTTTTATTTATTGTTCTTCTTAAATCAGAGTGTTTTTCTGTGGTTTATGGAATTTTTATTTTTCAGCATGTCAAAAAAAAACCCCATTCATCTCAGTTTGTTTTCATATTGATGTGATTCACAGAGCTTCATTAAACTTATAAACACAATGAATGAGTCCCTCCAAAAATGAGCGAGGGCCTTTATTGTTGTCTTTTTGGCATAAATAACAATGGAATGCTTATAAACACTCTGCAAACACACTAAATAGTTGCAGCAAAATGTAGGAATCCCTCTGCCAATGCATTTGTGTATCTGGATACAAAGCTTCTGTTTTGTGTGTTTGGTTTTCAGTGGAGGAGACCTTGGTACGGTTGGTGAATGGGTCAGGTCTTCACGAAGGCCGTGTGGAAGTTTTCCATGAACATCGCTGGGGAACTGTGTGCGATGATGTCTGGGATAAAAAGGATGGAGATGTAGTCTGCAGGATGCTGGGATACCAAGGAGCAACTGAGGTTCATAAGACTGGACGCTTCGGGCAGGGTGCGTAACACTCTTATTTCTTTGGTGTGTTTGGTGCAAACCTTGCTGTCATTCAGTTCATGTAACACTTACGTGCGTTTATTCAACTTCATATTGTGCCAAAGGATGTAATAGGTCGACTTGGTCCACCATGTCAGTGTTGACAGAAACACCAAATAGGTGGCCATATTTTTTGGCTGTGGCTTGTGTAGAAGGTTAGGCCATGCATTAATTAGTAAAACAGTATGCCAGTTGAAACTAAAATTTCCAATTTTACATCTTCCAGTCTTATATGTATTTATGGCATTATGACACCAAAATGTCAAATCTGAATGGTGAAAGATATGTTCCAGAATAATCTGTAAAAGCAGGCTCAGACCACCCCTGGTAAAAACTTTGAATCTATTCATAAACTTCCAAGTGATCCTTTAAATGAAAAAAACAACAACAAGGATATAACCTCCTTCGCAGAGGTAACATAAACAAGATCCTCTTCCTTTTAGCCTTGAATTTCCCAGGAGATTTTGTATTCAGAATAGTATAGTAGGCCTTATAGAAAACCAAACAGAACTGCAAAGGATTTATTAATTTGTACTCACTAAATTGTTCAATCAGCATTTACTGTATAATGATTTAAAAGGAGCAGTTTACTGTTGCATGTTGACCATCCTTTACATCAGTGGTGTGATGTGACAAGACGCACTGGTGGGCCTTGAGAAAAGCCAAGATTTGCTTTGGCCATATGCTATTATTGCAATCAATGAATTCATTCATTTAATGCAGCTACACTTGCAAGGTGGGAATTATGAGACTGCAACTCATCAAAGGCCCCTTTTGACAGAAATATGGTTAACAAAGGAGGAAACACATTACTTTCTTACATGTATGAGTCAAAGAGTCAGGAAAAGGTGGCTAATGCTATAATGGTGCCAAGCCAGCTGAGGAGGTCTTGAAAACCAAACATCCCTTTGGAGAGAAACTTGGTTCATTTCAATAGTGTTTGGATCTGAACCAGAGGCAGCAAAACTGCTGGACCGAGTTTAAGTCCTTTAAGAAGATGGGGGTGAGATATGTGTTAGTGCATTCACCGTCAAATACAAATAAAAAAAGAATTGAGAATGATTTGAATCCAGGTGGGGTTTTTATATCAGATTAAATCAAATCATAACGTTGACACAGTATCCTGCAGTGGACCAGCGAACACATTCAAAGTCTTAAGGCAACAGAATAAACTGGAAATGTAGCTTTATTTAAATAGATGGAAAATCAAAAATTAAAATATAAGTCAATAGAGGAATCCAATAATTCAGGCAGAGAAGACACAAGAACCAAAAACAGACACTGTGACGATGACTCAGGGGAAGACACTGCTTATATACACACAAGAAAGCATTTAGGGGAAGTGAACACTGCTGCTGTGCTATTGCTGCAGCAATGAGGCTGAACAGCATTGCCAAAATCAACACTTCCTTTCAGAGGACTTAGACTTAGGGGTAGCAGGATCTGGCAAGCAGGTGGCTGTCATTGTAGCAGGTGGGTGACTAGCAGGTTGCACAATATTTTAAACTGGTGGAAAAACTCTATGTAGAATGAGGAAGACATCGTATACACACAAGAGGGCAATTAAAAGAACTGAACACAAGGGGGCAAATGAGGCACATTTAAACAGAATCTAGGTAACTAGACAAGGAAAAAAAAAACTATATACAAACCACAAAAGACAAAGAAGTACCAAAATGAAGCAGGACATAACATAAATGAAGACTTAATGAGAAACAAAGAGACACTGAGGGTGGCCATACTAAACTGAGTCACACAGAAGTACATACAAATCAATAATTAAGATGTAAAGAGAACCCACATTACACATGTAACCAGAACTTAAAAACTAAAGCCCTAAATGATAACCAAAAATACAAAACTCAATGAACCATAAACTTTGCAAAAGTCAAAACATTGGCTCAGAGACTCAGGACCATGACACTATTAACCACTGGAATTTTAGTATAAGGGCATCACATTGTTGTTGTTTTCTTCTTGTCTTTTCATCACAGCTTTATTGTTGTCATGTGGTAAAGCAGTGCTCATGTTTCAGGAAATGTTAGAATTTCCACAAAATGCATGTTTGGTTTCAGCTCTTCTGCCAAAGTGTCTTTAATGGGTTTTGGTTTGCCACCATCAGCATGTAAGTGTGAGTGAGTGCTGGGGTGAATTATAAGCACATTATAAACCATTTTGTGTCAAAACACCCATATATCAATGGGCCAAAACCTTATGGCATTATGTTTGTTGGTTACTTGCATGCTACTGCCAAAACAGCTTAGATTTACCAAGGCATGGACTCAGCAAGACCTCTGAATTTAAACTGTGGGATCTGGCACCAAGTCAGGCTGTTCCCATTTGAACCAGTTGACTAAGTGAATAAACCTTTCACTTGTTGAGTCTGATGTAATAGCAATGTAATCGTCTTTTCTGAGTTTTTAAGCTCATTCTTTATAGGTCAGCACTCATGATCTGCAATGAGGAACATGGCAATCATTGTTTTTATCTACAATACATATCCATGGTGAAACTTAATGATGGAAGTCGCTCTGATTTTTACTAACTCTGCTTTTTGGATTTGAGTGGCACAACAGTACCCTAAAATGCTGCAGGGATTAATATTAAACTTTTATGGTGAAAGTCGTGCTAGCCAGATGTCGTCAAGAAAGACTCTCATGGGTCATATCCATCTGTTTCTTTCCCCATTTTATTTCATTCAGCAGTCAGCCTGACATCATTCAGAGCCTCTGTCCAGGCTGAGTTGTTACCAATAAGTCTGGAAAATTGAGGGAAATCATGCTTTTGTTCCAGGGGACAACCTCAAGAAAACAGCACAGGCTAACATCATGGCTGGATTCAATTTTAAACTATCTGGAATTCACATACATTTTCAGATGACTCACTAACCTTTCTGATTCCGTTTTAGCCTTTGTCTTACTCATAGCATCTGTGAAAGGACAGAACAAAATAAAATGACTTGATGAGAAAGCCACTCATTTGCCTCCTGTCTACCAAAATAACATACAGTATGTGAGTGTTTGCAGAAACGACAGGTGAGTTTTTCCAGAGCTACACAAAATCAGGCACAACTGTAAAAAATACATTCAATTAGCAGTCCAAAGACAAGTCAGGTTACCTTTCATGCTTCATCCCTGCTCCAATAAACAGACCAGTAGTTTTCAGTTACAATTTTCCATCTTTGATTTTAAACAAATTTGAACTGGAGACTTTCTGTGTAATCTCTAAATACCCTGCTTAAACTCTGTACACCCTTTTAACCTCCCAGCTTTGTGTTTTAATGTTTGTCCAAACTAAAAATAACCAAACTTTTTCCAAACTTTTATATTAATTTCGGACATTACAAACCCTGAATTTCTTTAGGAAATACAAAACTGCCCTGAGCCCGCTGTTTTTCAGTCTGCTCACACATGACTGTACCGCCAGACTCAGCACTAACCACATTGTGAAGTTCGCAGACGACACAACTGTGGTTGGTGTCATCACTGACAACGATGAGTCCACTTATAGATTGGACGTGGAGCAGCTTGAAGTGTGGTGTAGATCCCATAATTTCACTATCAATGTGGACAAAACAAAAGAGATGGTGGTCGATTTCAGGAAGTCTGGCAGAGATCACCACACAGACCTCACCACAGATGGATCTGCTGTGGAAAGGCTCAGCAGTGTTAAGTTCCTGGGTGTACACCTAGCTGATGACCTGTCCTTCTCCATTAATACCACAGCAGTTATCAAAAAAGCACAAAAGCGAAACTTGAAAAACTATTTTTCAAACTTGTAAAACAAACTATGGACATTTCTCAACTCCTAAAATCCTTAGCTCATTCAGTACGTACCCTAAACATATTCAAAGAAACATCATATTGATTGCTAATAATAACACACAGGAGTGTTTCTGCTTAGAAAACAGTAATAAAGTTTATATTAAAGTTTATATTATGTATGATGGCTCAGAGAAACCTGAACTCCAGCCAGGAAACTGGGGTTTGTGTCATCATAATTGCAGTAAAAATAAACCCGTCCACAGCAGTGTGAAAAAGTCTTGAGCAACTCCTCATTTCATTATGTTTTGTTTATAAGGAGGCAGACTACTTTTTCAGGCTATCTGGAGGTCTTTTAAAGTTTTTCTTTGGGCACTGGCTGCTTTTTCACTTATTTTTACTTCAATCCTTGTACCGGGCCATTTTCAGAAAAAGAAAGGGTTTTTTCGTTTTGTTATCAACCTTTGAAAAGAACCAGTTTAATATTTTGTCTTTAGGCACTTATTACCAGCCTTATAAAAAAAGAAACATATAAATTTGTTCCAATTTCTTTCTTTCAATCAATGAAAAATACCAAAGATAACGCAGTTTGGTAGAGATATCAACACCAACATCATGAATCCCCTTTTAGCCAAAAAGCCAAAAAGATGCAAACCGCTGATGAGCAAGATCTGAAAGTCATGTTCTTAAGAAACAGGAAAAAATCCAGCAAAGGCCTGGCACATGAACTGAAAGATGTATCTGCACCTTCAGTTGATCCATCTACTGTTCACTGAAGCCTCATCAGAAATGGTCTTCATGAAAGGGTTGCTGTCATGAAGCCACTCTTTAGGAAGGGAAACAGGGAGAAAAGGTTGTGAAGAAGTCTTATGGTACAACAAAGAGTGCCTACACTAGGGTTGTTCGATATAACGATATATATCGGACGACGATATAAAATATCGTTTCATTTTACGCTATCTTTTGTTTCGTGATGTCGCAAAATAAACTGTTTACGGCAATATTTTTTCATCGTTTAATTTCTTAAAGTTCTCTCTTTCTCTTATATTTAATATAACCACACTACGAACAGCCAAGTGACTGCTTTTATGCGTTGTCGTTAGCAACAACGACGGTAAAACCATCGCGTGGCTCCACCATCCGCTTGTTTATTTTCCACATAAACCTTTCACAATAAAGCTCGAGATCCTGTTGAGACTT